AAGAACTTATACATATATGAATTTTGGCATTAAGAAGAAAAAATAACTTCTTGATTTAGTTTAATATATTTAAAAATTATTACATTCTTTACTTGATTGCTCGTACCGAATTTGTATTCAACCTTTTGTTCTGAACTTCGATTTTTGTAAAATGTAAAATTTAGATGTGCATTTCCCATAAGATGCACAACAAATGAAATAAACTGTCTGTTCGAATTATTTCTGGTTGAATAAATGTTTTTCGAATTAAATGGCCAGTGCCATTAAGATATCACCAATAACGCAAAATGTCAATTGGAATTATTTCTGCTTGATTTGATTACTTTTCGTAGAATTTCCATTTAAAGAATTGAAATGCATTTTCGTTCATAAGATGCAGTCACAAATGAAATTAGCTGCCTGCTGCAATTATTTCAGCTTGAATAAATATTTTTGAGGTCATTTAAAGTGACATGCATTATTTTCAGTTTTACAGTTTGAAGTGAAATGATTACTGACTGATTAAATAGTAACTAACTAACTTTTTGCAGTGCAAACCCTGACATAATTGAGTTTTGGGTTTCTGTAAAACTGTTCAATAAATATTACATTTACAACCACTCGAATGAAAAAACGCTTTCTTCAACTGAATCTCAATACCAAGTACTATTTGAAATGCAAAATGGGTTTTCGTTAATGAAAAAAAAGACCGATTAAAATGGTGCGCACTGGCATTTCGACATTATTATATTATCTTTTGGGATAAAATTGTCACATTTTTTATTGCCGATAACATTGAATTACATTTTTCATTGTTGTTATGTTCTTAAATATATTTAAGTTCTTAAATAAATTTGTTTAAGTTATTTTTTTTTATTAATGGGATTCCGACATACAAATTTCAATTGTAAATTTCCATATACCTATGTGTCTAAAGAGATTCTATTAACCCTTTAAGTTTAATGAGTTTTTTAGTAGACTTTCCGCTTTTTTTGAACGTTCTTTAAATCAGAGCAAGCCCATAATTTTGCCCACGACTGACTGATTTCGTTAATGCCCGTTTTGAGTACTCGTTCTACGGCTAATTAAAGTCACGGCCGGACTGCCTTGGTCCCCGGGCTGTGCCTCCTGTTTCAATTTCTGTTGCTGTTGCTGTTTCAGTTTCTGTTGCTGTTGCTCCTGTCCCGCTGCTCATTGCAATTAATTTCAACATAAATTTGCACTTTCCGTCATGTGGATGTTGTGTTTGTGTGTGTATATGTGTGTGTGTGTGTGTGTGTTGTGTTGTGTTTTCCCCAGCTTGGAATCTCCATTACCCCATCCCAATCCTCATATCGCACATCTGAGTGACCTTGGGTGTGTCAGCGCCGCCATTTCCGTTTCCGTTCCGTTCTGTTCCCGTGCCCCCAACTGTTGCACCTCGTTGTTATTATTGCCGTTGACCCAATTTGCCACCTCTTGCTGCCTCATCAGTCGCAGTGCCAATAAATTTTCATACAAAACAACAAAATATGTATGTATATGTATGAAAGACAATGGAACGAGGGCCAACAATTTAATGGCCACGTGCACGGTGGTCCTTTCGAGTTTAATATTTTTTTGCGTACTACATCAAAGTCCATCCAGGGGTCCCAAGTCCCAAGTCCGAAGTCCAAAGTCCGGGTGATTAAATGAAATTTACGAGTACTCCACTAGGGCTTGAGCTTGGGATTGGGGTTTGGGTGCCTGGGGGTTTTGCATTGGCTAAACCCGGCACCAAGTCTGTCAGAGATTGATGAGTTGTGTTTCGTCTTGGCGGTGGTCAAGGGAATTTTGGTCAGCTTCGCTGCAAGTCCATTATTAACTGACCTACTCGGCGTATGCGCAATTTTGCCAGTGCCGAGCACATTATAATTGTTAAAATACCAAATGCTTAAGAGTAGATTATGATAGCTGGGAATTTGGGGGGGAAATATTTGTGCATGTCAAGGGAATTTTGCCAATTGACTGGCCATTATGAACTGGCTAACGTGGCGTTTGAGTTTTTCAGAGATTAAAAATTTAAGCTCCAATTAAACTCTTGAAAGTTTTAGTTTCATTATGTTCTTCTTTTAATTAATTTCATACAAAGTAAAATTAATACCAGAGTGTTAATAAGTTGTTACAGCTTGATATTTATGTATTTAGAGACAAGCAAATTTCAAATTATAAAAATCTTTTAATAAATGAATAATTCAAAAAAATAACTATTGATTTCAATTTCAAAGTGGCATAAAGTTTGTCATTGAGTTATCTATTTTCAATGCTAGATTTTCTATTCGTATGCTATCTTTAATCAACTCTATTTATTAGTGGACAATGGAAACCCACCGCAACCCAAAGCTCTGGTTTCTCCAAGGATTAACATACATTTAGAAACCCAACTCATCGGAAAAGCTCATCTCGGGATGGCTGTCGAGTCCTGTCTATGGAATGTTATTCAAAATCCAATAATAAGCCCAACAATTATGCAGGACAGGCAATAAAGTGCAAAGCAGCGTGTTTCCACAGCACATATAACGCCACAGCAATGGCGACGAAATAAATAAATGTGATGGGATAGTCCAAAACTATAACTGACAGGGGGAGGTTGGAGTAGAAGGAAAATGGGGAAAAAGGAGGAAAAGGCGTCCAAGGATCTGGTTCTGGGGTCTCATGTTTATGAGCTGCAATGGCGACGCGTTGACAGCTTTTGGTCAGGACGTCGTATCCTCTGTGTCCCGGGCTTTCCTCAATTTCCTCACTTTCCTCACTTTCCTCACATTCCTCACTTTCCTCACATTTTCCACTTTTTTTTTTTTTAACTTCTGTTTTTTACGAGTGGGCATGCGAGTGTGTGTTGTGCTTTTACGACGAGCAGCCAGTTTATTGCAAGTGTCGGCCTCGTCTGGGGTTATTAAAGTTTCAGCCGAGCATTTGGTGCGAAGTCGCATTGCAGACTAGTATTGGTATGGTCCTGGAGCTTGGATCCTGCGCCTTTGGGGCGTTGCATCCACAATTCCCACCTCCACTCGCCGTCCACTCGTTATTTTATTACTGAAAAGTGCAATCATAAAACGTTCAAGGCCCCCAATGCAATGCAACGATAAGAGACAAACAAGGCTAGAAGCTAACAGGCACACAGAGAGCAAATGTCTGCAAAATTGGTCACCACATAGGTATTTTCCCATGGAAATGTCTTTGAAATTCAAAAGATCTTTGGGAAAAAATATCACAAAAAACCAACAAAAGTGGATGTTATTTAAAGCAAAATATAACCATAATCAGTTTACATTATTTAATGATATGTATGTAAAAAAAAACGAAACTCAAATTACTTTTACAATATTTATTTTATATTTCTAAGTCTTCTAAAATTGTTAAGCAAGTTTTAGAAGCAAACAAAATATTTTATATTGTAATTTTTAATGCCTTACATTACAAATTGCATTCCCTTTTTAGTTTTAAATATGTTTTAAGTACAAAATAGTGTTCTTTGTGCTGGGAACTGGGACCGGTTTTTTTTCAATGTGTGGGCACACTAAAGTTGCCATTTCTTTAGCCGCAAACGAACTCGCTGTTCAATTCTCTGAAATGGCTTTGTGCATTTGAAATGTGAAAAGCGCTTAGAATATTTGCCACCACACCCCCTACCACCTTATCCACAAAGGAAATTCTACGGCAAAAAGCGCCGTCCAACAATAAATGTTCGAGCCGCCAATCGTCCAACTAAAAGCCCATAAAAAGCTATTGACACAAATCCAAAAATAAGCAAACAAACAAACTAACACAGCAGCAAAACAGGCCAAGAAGAAGAGAAACAAGAAATATAGACAAATTGTACACTCCTAAATGGCTTTGCGCTCCATTTTCAGCCAAGTCGGGGTCACCACGAATGAAGTTGTGGGCCATCAAACGGTCACCATTTAAAAAAAAGAATAGAAAATGTAGAAACAAATAATTAAATTCAGTTAAATCAACGCCATCCATATAATCGACTATGAGTATGGGAGGCTGAAACAAAGCCAAGAGATGAAAGCTTGTTGGAAAAGTTTTCCACCATCACTCAAATCGCATTGAAGTCTGATACGATGATGTGAGGCGAGGCAAAGGATAAAAGCGTGAAAACGCCTCGAAATGCCTGGAAAATATGTTTGTGGAGCGGGAAAAGCCAATGCCATGTAAATATTTGCTGGGAAATAACTGAAAATACAACTATAAAAAGTGAATTGAGTCAGGACAAAGGGAAGTGCCACCAGGATGATGTGTTGTGTGAGGATATCGGAATGTGAAAAGTGAAAAGTGGATTTCAATCCATTGTTCGGTCCATTGCTGCCATGCAGCGAGAACAACAAACAAATAAGCCGGAATCGAAAGGAATCGAATCGAATCGGAAAACTGTTTTATATGCTACCATATACAAAGTGTAACGGAAAGCTGTCCCAGATAGTGCAAATATGAAAGGCTTAAGCGGCCGGAAGAACATGTACAGACCCAAAGGCAATTAGCCGGATACACAATATAACTTTAACCATAACAAAGGGACCACACGGTGCTCGACATTTAATATTTTCCCTCCACTGGACCCCAGCCTAAACAAACAGAACCCCGAATTGTTTGGCTATTTATTACTCTATAGAAAGAACTATAGTTTGTTCGAATAAAATGTCAGCTTTAAACCAGTTTGAACCAAAGTTTATTCTTTAAATAGTTTTATTTTACAGTTTTTGTTTATTTTAAAATGTTCAATTGAATTCTTAAAATTGATTCAATGCATATTTCCAAAAAATATTGCAAGTAGTCTAGTCCTAATTATTATTATTATTTCCTGAAATTGATTTATTATTTTAAATCAATTTGCATTCAGAGTAATTGAAGTTATTTGAAGTAAAACAAAAATGTATTCCTTTACCCTAAAAATATTACAAACTATTTATTTTATAGACTTGCACAACATTTCCACTTATAATAGGATGTGCACTAGAAAGATATCAAAAATTGTTAGCTAAAAGAAAAAAACAACCTTTTCGGGCATTGATTATCAAAGCTTTATTAAGACAGTCGGCTTGCATATGCTTGAAAATCAGTTCAGAAGTATTAGTGCGCGGAGCTCCAACACAACGGTCTTGGTCAAGATATCTTGAGGAGTGCGATTGTCCCTGAGGAACATGGGTAGGAAAAATATTGGCACGAGGTTCTTGACCAGGACGCGAATGATGCAGTTCGACAGCGAGGGCGGTTGAATCCGGGTAATGAGAACCAAGTGATGTCGCACCTGAAGTGGAATTATGATCTCGCCCTCAACGACACATAGACCCAATAATAGTTTTCCGGGAGTGAGTCCATCGTAACCAAAGCACCACAGCGCCTCGATAAAGCAGCGAGGAATTTCGAATAGAAATAACAGCATCACAGGTTCGTTGAACAGCCCGAAAGAGTCCAACGATGCGATACCGAAAAAGATCCTGGATGCCACACGTGCAATGATGATCACCAGGAATAGAATTAAGGTCCTATCAATTGCTTCCGCTGCAATACGTTTCCACATGGGCGCCATCACGAATACATTGCGACGTGGTTCTTCTGGTTCCTCAACCAAGGGAGTTGATTCCCTTTCGGTCACTGGACGAGCCATCGCCAATTGCTGAAAATAGTTCATCCACATGTAGTACGATAGCATTGCATTGAAAGTCTGGATTCTGTTGGTTTCTTCGACCCACTTAGCCAGCTTGGCAAAATACTCATCCTTGGCGGACATCTGTTTCTGATTTGTCTGTTCTGTGTGGTCACCCATTTTGTTTGATCTCGATAGCTAAAATATTGTTATTTAATTCAGGTTGTAAGTTGTAAGTTAATTTTTGTAATACTACTGTTTACCCCAAGCCTACTGTTTTCAATAAATCAAATGTTTTCGACAGAAAACTCAACATTTTTTCCAAGTGTTTTTTTTTTTTCTTTTTTGAAACCGAAAAGTTTAAATTTCAGTTCAATGTCGCACATAAGTCCCGCCACTATGCTCCCACAATTATTTAACAATTAGCCCCTTAATTTTGGCCGAATTGATCCAATTGAGGTGTGACAAATCACGGGAATAATCATTAGCTGCAATGGCTAAATCACTTTGCTACAGTTACTGTTTTGTTATTTATTCGTGTGCCGTGCTCCCTGCAATATGGGTTTCATTCGAAAACTATTGGGTTTCATATCATTATTCGGATTTCTGCAATTAACCAAACAGGTGATTTGGTGATTTGGTTTTAAAACCCATCAGTTGGAACTTTTTTTTTCAAAGCAAGTTGCAATTTACGTCTTTTTTTTAAGTTCGCGAAAAAATTAAAAAGTGTGTAAAACGGTTAATTAAAAAGAAAAAAATTCGTAAATAATGTATGTACATTGATGAATATGGAGGAAGCAAAAAACCGATTTAAATAATAACATCATTAACTTTTAGAGTAGTCTTCAAAGTGAATAACATTTTTAATGTACATAACTTTTAAACTGTTTTCCGTCATAGCACTGTTACATGATGAAGTTGGTGGGCGTTAAGTCCTGGGACACGCCCAACTATGGCCTGAAAATCAACATTTTCGAGAAGAACAACTCGATGTCCTCGGTGACCACTGTGCGCCAGGATGTGGCCATTCCCCTGTGGCATCTCGTCCTCCTGCAGCACCCGCGAAAGCGGAGCTCCGCATCCGCCACTCGAACGGAGCTGCCGCGAACGCTTTACAATTCGACCATGAAAACCTGCGATTTCTGGAAGTACATCCGCCACGTCTCCGCCTGGAACAATGTGGCCAAGCTGATGCTCGCTAAGGGTGCCAGTAACATGAGTCTCGCCTGCCCCCTGAAGACGGGCGTATACGTGATGAACCGCATCCAGGTGCCGCCGGAAACGGCGATCCTCAAGTTCATGTACCACCCGAACACACTCTACACTCTGGAGGGCACTGTCTTCGCCCAGAATCCCAATGACAAGGTCATCAAGAGGGCTCTGTGCCACTACGAGATCAATGCCACTATCTATAAGTCCTGTTAAAGATTTTCAGTGGATGTCATACATATTTAAAAAAAAAAAAAGTGCATTTTTTAACAGGTTATATTTTTTTTATTTTTTTTTTGTAATGTGCTCTATTTGTTTAGGGTTTCTAGATTAAAGCAAATTGATTAGGCACAAGTTTAGAATAGTATTTAAGGAAAGCTTTCAGCAGAATGTTAACCAAATCACAAGTTTAAAAAAAAAAACAAAAATTTAATTAGTTGATTTGTGAAAATATTTTCTATTCGCTTACAAGTTTATACAAAATTGAAAACATTATTTTCCCAAAGTACATTAGTTAACACTTAATTAATAAAAAGGCAATCATTCTTTTCAGCTAATCCTTGACATTTTAACTACTGATTCTAAATTTATAGCCAAATAAATAATTAAAGTGGATGAAGAACAAACTTTCCGTGCACGAGTATGTTGTTCCCTGGTCGGTTGTAAATCTGCTAAATACTAGTTCAGAATAAAGCAAGTTTCAATTGTCAGCGGGTTTTGGTTGGGATTGAGGTTGAGGTTGAACTGGGGTTAAGGCGGTTTAAACCGTGCGTGTCGCACGTCAGCGAAGGATTTTTAATTAAGTGCGAAATAAAAATGGAAGGGAAAATTTATACCAGCAACGGTCGACACTATATACAAATATATACACATATATATATATGGTATATATATAAAGCAACTGGCAGAAACCGCAAATCAACAGAAAGAGAGATATATATTCAAGATGCAGGCTAGTTACAGTGGTTTTAGTTTGCACGAAACAACTTCTAATTAAAATGCTTGGTTTTAAAAAAATGCTTGGTTTTTAAAAAAACCACTAGAGTTAAAGTTCAAGCCGAAAAACCGGCTATACATTTTCCTATAATTATTTGCAATCACAAAACAAACAGTTTCAGTAGCTTAAAATCAGGCAGTAACTTTTTATAAAAATTATATTTAATGACATCAAAAAATATAAATTAATTCAACAAATGCAATCTTATCTGCATTTTTAATCACATGTTTAAAATGCATATTGCTGTCGAAACATTTTTTTTGTCATCTCTAACCCCGTTTAAAGTTGAATTTTCAATATTGTGCGCCGCGCCTAAAATATTTATTTTACCGCCTGGCTATCGTGGAAATGAGCGACTGTTTCGAAAATTGCGGCAATCTTATTTCATATTTGCATTTGCATTTTGCATGACCGCACGCACTTGTCCGTCCCAATTTGAAAATTTAAAAAGTGTGCCGCAATTCTCCATATTTGCTCCAATTTTCAGAAGGAATTTTTAATCAATTTTCAATGCAACTGCTAACAATGGTTTAGGTGCAAGAATGGCACTCCGGAAGAGATATGTATTTTGAAGTCAAAGTCGAGTTCGGGGGGTGGCAAACGAAAAATTTCACGGTGGGGGGAGCAGATATTAATTTTTCCTCCGGGGCCAAAAAAACAATTGGGTTAAAAATAAACAGCCCAGGACACGAAACTGAAGTGAACCGAATGAATGAATGACTAACTGACTGAATAACTCCAGGTGGGGCTGCCTCGAGCACACATTTTACCTGGAATCCCCGCAGCCCCCCAGCAATGGGCATAAAATATGCGACGCTTGCATGCCAGAGACTTATTATTAAAACATAAAATTTGCATGCAAGCCGCAAAGCCAAAGCGACTTAACCTATATTGTATATATATTTAAGACAGCAGCGGTTGGAGTGATAGCAGTTCAAAAAAGAGGATAAAATGATAAGGCATTTTAAAACATATTACAAGAAAAGACAGTACATATTGGTACTTTTAAATCGTTTTAAGTTATTTTACTTCTTATTAAGAGTGTTTTTTTTGGGTAAACCCATTTAGAAGTGATCAAAAATCCTTTTATTGGGATTTGCAAAGCTCTTTTGTTGCGATTTTTTTAGACAACTCATGTTTGTAAGATTTAATTGCAAATTATATAAGTTTGATAATTGTTCTTTATATACTTTTTATACCCGTGATTATCTTTTAATGTCGGACATAAGTGGATATGCGTACCAAACCCATTTACAACACTATTCGAGAATATCTGCTTTCATTACTATAATTGTGGCTCCAACTGTCTGCATAAGCCCTACAGAATAAGAAAAAAAAAAGGCAGCACACCCATTTGAGGCCGGGGAGATGGCAAGATATATAAATACGTGCCTGTTTGTACATTTATGTGGCGTTTGGCAATTTGAACTCGTGAATTATGCACAGAACGAGCAACGACAGCCGGCAAAGACAATGGCCCCCCAAAAAGGGGAGTTCCCCGGGGCTTGTGGAGTAGTGGGAATGGCAGTGGGAGTGGGATATGTGGGAGTGGGATATGTGGGATCTGTGGGACCTCGGAGTTTGGGAGTTTCTCGCATTAGACAAATTTGGCCAGTTTATTTACTGGCAACCGTTCGGAGCCAGTCACAGATGCTAACACTCAGTAGATTGAACGCGATTCAGAGCAGAGCTGTCTCCCAGCGGTGATTTGTTAGACGCCACTTAATGGGGCTCCAGTGTTGGTAAAAGCCAGTTGGAGTCGCCTGTGGAATCGAAAGTCAGCGATAATGTTATACTTTATTTTACTTGACTCTACTTCATTTGACTGAAACTCATAAGATTACATTTATGTGGTGATTTTTCTATAAGACCTAGAATTAAGCTGTAACTAAGTCCACAATTTTTTTTTCTTGCTCTGAATTTTAAAAATAAACGATTCAAAGTCAATTGCCGCTATAAGTACGTGTCAATCAACATTTCATTAGGGCTTTAATTCTTCAAATTCTAGAGAAGCTGCCAATTATCTGGCAAAGGCAACTTAATTATGGATTGAAAACATTTGACCACATGTCATGAAAACCAAATGCCCAAAATGGCAAAAGATCGAAAGACTATTGGCTATCTAAAGACATTTATAACGTCCAGAACGAAAGGATGTCGAGAGGCAGGTAAAAGGGACAGTCTGCTGGCTAAGTTTTCAACGAATTGCTGCCTGAATATTTCAGCACTAATTAACTATAATTGGCGAGAGTCACTGGCAATTTTACTGCAGAAATGAGCTGCAGTCAGGGAATAAATTGCTTGGGAACAAAGATGAAAAGACAATTTTCCTTGCAACTGAAGCACGAGTAAGATGGGGTTCAAGAATTAATTAATGCCGAACAAACTTCAACTATAAAAGGTTAAACTCAATGATTTCACTGGGTTTCGAAACTTCTGAGATAACTTTTTATACCAACTTACGAAGTAATTTTATAACTCTTGATATATAACTCTAGACGGAAACGGATCTTGAAGTATTTTTTATATTTCTGCTGATTTAAGCTTGGAAACCCCAGTTTCACTTAAGCCTCCAGATAAATCAAATGAACAGCAATTGGTTGCAGTTTTCATTCCCCAGTGAGGCAAAGTTATAGTTATAGCCACTAACTGCTAACCGCAGATAGAGTGCACTTAAATGGAAACTGCCGCTCACACGCGGTTGTCACATCAATAACTTGCCGCCAAGTAAACATTTAGTATGCTCACTTTACGGCTGTCATCGGTGCACTGAGATAAATTCATGAATTTGGCGCTCTAAAAGTGCGATTTAAGAATTGAGATCCAAACGAGCTGATTGTTGTTAAATTTTAAAGGACTTTACTGATTAATTTGTAAGTTTACTATATAAATAAAGTTAGTAAGCTAAAATATACCACAAGTCTTAACTGACATTTGAAAATTAACTATTAATTAAAGACATTTTTCTCTCAATATGTAATGTCATTGGACAGGATCGCAATTGTAAGGGTTCTAACGTTTTTGTTTCGCCCACGACGCAGTGCCAATTCCAAATGCCACA